CACAAATGGGTCCATTCTTGCCAGACAGTGCTATTCAAAGCCTCCACCTCAATCCTTGATTAGCCGGGGATAGACAAGCCATTAAAAACGCATCCACCTCCAACTATCACAGATAATGTGCCTCATTAATGCGCCACAATAGCTCTGACACACAGTTGTAAGAAACTCCTGGGGAAATTGGGAAGGAGTCTATTCACTGATAATACAGAGGGGAAAGAAAAAAAAAAAAAAAAAGGTTTAAAGCAATAATGTGATTTAATTGGCCTCCCAAGTAGAGATCTGAAAATGCAACTTTTATTATGCGCCAAGAAGAATCACCCAAGATCGTCTCGCTTATTTTATGCAGATAAACGGCAGTGATTAGCTACATCGAATCGGGAGGATGAAATTGTACAGTTGCTCAATAGCACAAAAGCGCAGCCCCCTGCACCCCCCCAGCTTTCTTTTAGAAATCAGCCAGTAAATGAAGAATCCATGTAGATTATATCTTTAGAGGAAACCTAATACTTTTTGTCTAGCTTTATAAACATCAAGAACTTATAATCTTAAAAAAAGAAAGAAAAAAAAAAAAGGAAAACAAAATCCCGGGAAAAAGGTTTTTAACTAAGCAAATTACATGGGTGGTTATCTACTAACACAGCTGATGGATCTGCGGCTCTGAAACCTGAAAAGTTTATTCATTCAACAATCGCAGGAAGGAAGGAAGAAAAAAAAAAAAAAAAGAGAAGAGGGATTGAAGGTTCTAAAAAGGGTCATGGAAAAAGTTTGTCATCTGCATGGTCCTTAAGTGCTGCCCACATAGTCGGATCGGTGCCAGCTACCGACTTGCCTTATGCACGCTGGCATCCACATATGGTCGAGCCCAGACGCCTAAAATAAACCGCTAGCGTCTGGACAGTCAGTCTGGGTGGCATGTCTTCCTTCGGCTGCCCCAGTTATGTATACACCACCTACACACACACACACAAACACAAACACAAACACACACACACACACAATGCAGAGCGCTGCCACTGCTCTGGTGCCAGGTGCCCAGCTCGCTGGACGGAGAGAAATAAATACAATGTTCCTAGAAAGAGCGGTGGAATCAATAGGGGCCCACACACACATACAGGGAACAATTTAGATTGGAGAGGGATCCCGCAGCCCTCTGATGGGGGGGGGGGGGTCACTCAGGCATAGTTTGCCAACAATACCTGAATTACGTTTTCAGAGGGGGTTAGGGTTGCAGACCGGTCTGTACTTATAACAGATTTACAAAGCACACATCCTCTGTTTCCAAACACTACGAATAGCTGCAACCACATCGGCTCATATCAATCATCCAGTCACATCTACACACAACCTGGTGCGGGTTGCTACCGGGTCATGTTAAACACCGGCGCACTTTGCGCCCTGCTGAGACTCTTCCGTTGCCTCTGCGGGCCCTCGAGGGCGACAGGTCTCCCTTTACATAAAAAAAAAAGGAATCCACCAGCACCGGAATTAGGTTACCAGCAGCCTTGGCTCCCAGCAACTCTCCGGGCATGCTCAGTGGCCTCCCATCTCCTGAACTCCCTCCAATGGCAGCCCAGGGATGTCTGCCTCCTCTCCACAAATTACACCTTTATGGCCAGTCATAACTTCGGCCCAAATGCCCCCAAACAAACTTGAACTGCAATTAACCCACAACCGCCCTGCACGGCAACAAAGAAAACCTGGCCACGTTTGCCTTCTGATAACCCCCCCAGTATCATCGATCACACACATTTTAACCCCTGTTGCCTGTATAGTGAAACATTAACCCCTTAGATAACAAAATGCTGAAAGCCATCACTGACCCCAATAAGATGACACCATGCAGACCAATCAACAAGACATAGAAAGGAAAATAAACATTTAAAAAGACATTAACCCAGTAGCTGCCAAATTCCTTTTTTGATTGAACATTGACCATTAAAAACAAACATTTTAACCCCTCGATTGCCAAACCCCAAGCACATCAAACCTGCACAACATTTAAAAAATGAACTCT